AATGGACTCCAGGGCAGTGGGTGTGGTTTGGGCTTTGCTTCTGTGAAGATTGACAGCCTTGGAGACCCTGTGGGCAGTTCCACTCTGTCCTCTAGGGGCACTGTGGGTCAGAATCGACTCCATGGCCGTGGGTCCGGGTTCAGTTATGCATAGATCAACATGTATATGACCCGTCCATGGACAGTTGGCATTAAGTGAACGTATTCAGAAGATTCAGTTATTCGGCGGAGTCCCTGGGTGGTGCAAACAGTGAACGTGCTTGGCTGCCGATCCGAAGGCTGGAGGTCTGAGTCCCCCCAGAGGGCCTGGGAGGAAAGGCCTGGCAATCTGGTTCTGAAGGAACACCCTGAGGGCCCGGTGAGCACAGCTCTGCTCTGACATGGGGTCGCCGAGAGTCAGCATCAATTTGACAACTGCTCACTATTATTGTTGTTATTTTATCCAAAGCTTGAGTCTGAGTGAGTTACTTGGCTTTCCTGAATGAGTCTTCTCTCTCAGAGGAGGACTCACAGACGCTGTCGGCTGTGTCTGGCTCTGCCCTTCCTCTGGGATGGGGAGCAATGAACGTTGCCCCTTTATTTACATTCAGAAACGTTAGCATTGCCGGGCCCCCTCTCTGGTGTGAAGATGAATAATCTTGACGTGACTGGAAGTTGTCATCACCGCATTTTTGGTCGTGCGGGTGGAGCAGACCATGGACGTTAGTAAATGAAGTCCCCTCCCGACGGCAGAAGATGAGCACCCCCACACACACACCCCACGGGCCCGGGTCGTCGGACGTCAGGAGGGAAGGATGCCCTGCTGTATGCAAGCAGAGAAATGGCCGTGAGGGGCTGTCGTGTGCAGGCAGCCGGGCTTGGCACGTTCCGTGTGTTCCCGTGACACCCCCCCATTAGGAGGGCATGAGAGTGAGCAGACAGGTCGTTCCCACGTTTGTCGCGGTGAATCTTCTTACCGTCGGGTCATCATCATCTCCTAGCATTCACTGAGAGCTTGGTCAGGTGGATGAAGAAATGGGGGCATCATGAGACATCCTGCTCCCGGCACCGTTTCCACTCCTTTCCGTGCTCTGACTGGGCCTTCAGAGGCGACCCGGCTCTTCCCCCAACAGCAGCTCCGGGTAACTCCCGCAAACTGGCACCTACCTGTCGGCTGCCCTGGTGCTGCCGTAAACAGAGACACCTCAGGTGCATGGCTCTGACAAACGGGGGTTTATCCTCTCACGGTTTTGGCGGCTAGCTGTCTGAATTCAGAGCGCTGTCCCGCAACCTTGGGCTTCAGCTCTGCCTCTTGTTTCAGGCCCAGTGGAGCTGGAGGCGTCTTAACTCAGCTGCTGAGCCAAGGCCAGCAAGTAAAATGGCACTGTCCCAAGACCAGCAGCTCTTGGCCAAATGCAGGGTTCACATGGGCCAAAAAGCCAGAGACCTTCCTCAGAGATTCCCTGTATGTGCTGGAAGCAGGCCACACCCTCAAGGCAGCTACTTAGCTGCTCACAGAAGATTCCTCCACGGAGGTGATTATAAACTCAGCGTGGGTAATAACTACATCCCGCTGCTCAACCGCTCAGAACCACGGCCCAGTCAAGTTGACACACTACCTTAACTACCACACTACCTGTGGCTGTCCGGTTGATTCTGACTCATAGTGACCCTAATGACACAATTGTCCCATGGAGTCTCCAGACTGACACATCTTTCTCTTGTGGAGTGGCTGGTGGGTTTGGATACCAGACGAGCACTTAACCACTGTGTCACCAAACCTCCTTAAACTGGTAACTAACTCACTGCCATTGAGTGGGTCCCGACTCATAGTGATTCCTCCTTGGGTTGCCGAGGCGGTATCACTGTGGAAGTAGGTTGCCCCATCTTCCTTCCAAGGAGTGGCTGGTGGGTTTGAACCTCCAGCCTTCGGGTTAGCAGCCAAATGCCTTAAGCACTATGCCACCAGAGCTCCTAAACTGGTAAGTAGGAGTGTGTGAAAAAAGAGATGAGTGCCTGAGGGTGTGCAAGGAAGTACATATCAGGAGCCAAAACTACCTCCTCCTGGGGTTCAGCAGAGGCACGGAGACCAGTCCTCCTTCCAAAGGGAATCGTGAAGGAATTGTCACCTTCCGGGTGGGTATCCCAGAACCTGCCAGGTGACCCACCTGCAGGGAGGGTGTGGAAGTCAGGCAGGGTTGGTGAGCAACCACAGAGCGTGTGTGGTTATCTCATGCTGGATACAGAGAGTTACTGATGGAGCCAATGTTTTGTGACTTGAAGTGACCCAAGGACTTACTAGAGAGTGACCTCTGGAGTCATGGGACCTGCCAGGACCGGTGGAAGCTGCCCTTGGGACATAGTTACAGAAAAAGGGAAAAATAAAGTTGCCTTTATGATGGATCTCATGAGTTCTTTTCACTCAAAGGATGGTCTACATGTGGTGTGTTCCAAATATGGGCTTGGTTAGACAGCAAGGAACAAAGAAAGCAAGCTTCCAGGGTCCCCCTTGTGTGGACACCGCAGGACTGGAATCGCTCTATCTGCAAGAGGAATATTCCAGAAGGGAAGGTGAATGGGCACCTTCCACGGCACTGGCTTTCTGAACGAGGTGCTACTGAAATGACCCATGTTGTGCATTCTTAGCCCGTCACGGGAAAGTGACCACCTCTTACTGTTTTGCTCCTGCAGCGAGAAGTCCAGAGTTTCTTTGTTGTTATGGCTCTGATTTCCGTGCCCTGGATGCTTCTGATTAAGCCGTTCATTCTTAGAGCCAATCATCGGAAAGCCCAGGTAAGGACCAGTGTCTCTTCACTCGCTGGGGATAGGAAGGTGGGTTGTTGGCCATGGAAGTCTGGGGTTTAGAGACAAGCTGGACCTGAAGGAGAGCGGTGAAGCACCAAGCAGCTACCCTGCCCCAAGCATGCTTCCTTCTGCAGAGTTAGACTTCCCCACCAGGCCTTCTTATTTCCAGCCTACTGCTGTATTATGGGGAGCTCTGGTAGCGTAGTACCTAAGGCACTTGACTGCTAACCAGAAGGTTGGCGGTTTAAACCCACCAGCCATTCCTTGGAAGGAAGGTTGAGCAATTTACTTCTGTAGTGATTCCACCTTGGAAACCCAAGGAGGGGTTGCTAAGAGTCGGGTCTGACTTGATGACACATAACAATAACAACACAGAGTTGTAGTCATTCGAAGGATGAATTTAATGCTTTCTTCATCTCTTCCATTTGGTGACAGCTGCAGGCACCCATGGTCCAAGGAGACTCCACAGAGACTGTTGAGAATGACAGCTCCAACCACTCTGTCACTTCTGCTCAGAAGGTTTCTGGAGGTGCCCATGGAGGCCAAGATGAGCAGGAGGAGGAGGTATGTGGGACTGGACACCTGAGGAAGACTTCTGAGTTGGTCCAGATTCTAGAGGCGGGCCGGGGGGTGGAATTCAAAACACCGGACATCAGCAGGGTGTGAGCACCGACCTGGCAGATGGACGTGGGCAGCAGGTCAGGAACAGACTGCAGGTCCCGGCTGGGCCGCAGCCCTGTGATCGCTGAGTCCTGAGAGGGTGGAGGGGTCCCAGGGAGGCGGGGGAGCATCTGAGCAGGACAGAGCAACAGTGACTCACCGAGCCCTGGAAGAATTCTGAGGGCAACGGTGGTTCCCTGGCAGCATCCTCGCCTTCCGTGTCGGAGCTCCAGATTCGGTTCTGGGCCAGTTCACCTCACGGGCAGCCGCCACCCTGCCGTCAGTGGAACTTCCAGACGGACGAGGAAGACGGCCTGGTGAACTGCAGCCAGCAGAAGCCCCGTGGCTCACACAGTCCAGTTCCCAGCCGATCGTGAGGGTGGTGCGGGCCCAGACAGGGTTTGTGCTGTAGTGCGTGGGGTTGCTGTGAGTTGGGGACCGACACGATAGCAGCTCACCACCACATGAGAGGACTGTGATCTATTAGCCCAGGTGCTGCTGTGTCGATGAGTGTGGGACAAATGCCAGCCTCCAGCCAGTGCTGTGGAAGGTGCCCGTGTTACTGTGGGCTCCTGGCTCAGATCTGTACCCCTGGGAGTCTATTATTTATTCTGATCTCTGACCCCAGACAGCGAGAGCAGACCCCAGATGGAGCCCTAGACATTGCTGCACGTGCGGGTTGGTTATCCCCAGTCTCCGCCTGTGTGAGCTCACAGAGCCGCTAAAGCCTCTTAGTTCTCCGACCTCAGCCCCTGCCTGCTCTTCCCGACCTGGCTCACTTATCTCGTCGGTAGACCGTTGTCTCCTCACTCTTGAATGCTCGGATTGTTTTCTTTCCTCACCTGCCTCTGTCCCTTTCTGTCCAAGGGCAGCAACCACATCAGAAATACGTGGCACATTGTCCCAGGTGGGGGCAGTGGGCTGTTTTCATCCTTCACCCAGGCTGGTGACTTTAACCGGAGCCCACTGGGACTGGGTTCCCCGAGGGCCAGAGAGACACTTTGTGTAGTTCTACCCGTGGTGTTAATGGCTGTAAAAATTTATCTGCTTGAATTAGTGAACGATCAGTTAGAATTAGTGAAAAATCTGGGTCATGGGAGAGTTTCCCAACAACCTTTATCAAGGGTGACGAGTACACACTAGTGGCTGTCAATCAAGTCTGTGGGACCTCGCAGTCTCCCTTCCCTCAGATCTTCTGACCCATCAGTCCCGCCGTCGGTCCCGCCCTGTGGCGTACAACGGCCTGGTGGGTTCCCATCAAGCCTTCAGTTATCTGTCAGTCCATGTCTGCACTACCCTTTGTCTCTCATCTCCTCCGCGGATTGCTGTCCTTGTCGCAGCACTTCAGTTTGGTGCCTCCTTCCGTCTGTCTGCCAGCACACAGGGCTCCACCTGGACAGCAGAGCTGGCTTGACCCCACCCCCTCAGGCTCCTCTCCCCACCTCCCCTGAGCCCTTGGGTTTTTCCTGGGGGTTTTCCTTGTTGAATTGGGTGGCGTCTGTTTGTCTTTTCTCCACACCCCGTTCCTTCCCCTCTTGGCTCTAGTGACCCTGTGGCCACATGACTCCTCTTGCTTCTTTGACCTTTTCTGGTCCACCATCAGTTTCTTTTTTAATTTTCAAATGAAGATGTTTCCCAAGGGAAACAAAGAAAACCGTACGGAGCACTGTTCTGCTTTGCACACGTGGAGGTGCCATGAGTTGGAACTGACTCCAACAGCTAACAGCAACAACGGCAACGTTAATATTGGTTTCTCCCTGTTAGACTGTGAGGAGCCCAGGTGGCACGGTGGCTAAGTGCTCGGCTGCTAACCAAAAGGTTGCCAGTTCGAACTCACCAGCCACTTCACAGGAGAAGGGTGTGGCAGTCTGCTTCCGTAAAGGTTTACAGACTTGCAGACCCTATGGGCCAGTTCTCCTCTGTTCTTCAGGGTTTCTGTGAGTCAGAGTCAACTCAATAGCAGTGGGTTGGGTTTTTTGTTTTTGTTTTAGTTAAACTACAAAGGCATCTGTGCTTGGTTCGTAATGCCTTTGGTGTAGGAGGTACTTAATGAAAAAACATTTTCTCTTCCAGTTCAACTTTGGAGATGTCTTTGTCCACCAGGCCATCCACACCATCGAGTATTGCCTGGGCTGCATCTCAAACACGGCCTCCTACCTGCGCCTCTGGGCCCTGAGCTTGGCCCATGCCCGTGAGTAGGGGGCCTGCAGGGTCATGGTCAAGTCTCCAGGGGGATCTCAGGCAGTGCCTTTGTAGGGGAAGCTGTCTTTTCTGAGTTGTTTCTGGCAAGCTGGAGTCGAGGACGGGTCTTCTTTCTTAGGAAGAGGTGGCTTTCCCAGTCGGTCTGGCTGTGTGGCGGGGGGATGACTATCCTTTGCATTAGTTGTCTGTGGCTGCCGTGACAAATGACCCCAAACTTAGGATCTAGAGGCCTCTGTATTTCCTTGGTTCATGGACTCACACTACTCCAAGCTCGGCATCCCCCTTGTCTCCTACTCTGACCTTCGTGACTGCGTGACCCACCCTGATAACCCCCGTGGTCTCCACTCTCGGCCTTCTTGATCCCGTCTGCAGGCCCTGAGTCACAGCAGATTGTACTCTGGGTTTACCGGACGAGCCCTGGGTTGAGGATGTTCCTCTTGCCTCTTGCAGAACTCTCTGAGGTGCTCTGGACCATGGTCATGAACATTGGTCTTCGCCAGCATGGCTGGGGAGGACTCATTGGGGTCTTCATCATTTTCACCGTATTTGCTGTTCTGACGGTCGCCATTCTCCTTATCATGGAGGGCCTCTCAGCTTTCCTGCATGCCCTGCGGCTTCACTGGTAAGCAGGGCTGTGCCATGGGGAGGGAGGACAGCCCTGGGGCGTGGGCCAGGCTTGGGTCCTGACCAGCTGGGCCATGAACAGCTCACCTTTTGGTAGCTTTGGTTTAGTCATTTGTTGGTGTAATGTGAAAAGATGTAGCACACACATCCATCTACACAGGGCTAGTGGCTGCCCAGTAGTTAACGTCCATGGCAGTTCATCCCCTCCCTTTTCAGTGATAAACATTCACTTGTTGTCATTGGCTTAAGAATAAGTGACACATGGCTGGTAGGGTTGTTGCTGTTGTTCGTTGCCATGGAGTTGGTTCTGCATCATGCCACCCCCACATATGGAGAGATAACTACCTATAGGGTTTTGAAGGCTGGGACCTTGAAGAAGCGATCAACCATCCTTCTAAGCTGCACCTGGGTGAGTTCGAACCCCAGTCATTCGACTACTTGTGAAACACTGTCTGATATGTTACTGGAAAACTGAATAGCCCTGAAACATTGTCTGATGCAGTGCTGGAAGATGAGCCCCTCACGTTGGAGGGCACTCAAAATATAACTGGGAAAGGGCTGCCTCATCAGAGTAGAGACAACTGTAATGATATGGGTAAAGTAGAGCCTTTGGAACCTCTGTTTGCTGAAGTGGCATGACTCAATATGAGAAGAAACAATTGCAAACATCCATTAATAATTGGAACATGAAATGTATGAAGTATGAATCTTGGAAAATTGGAAGTTGTCAAAAATGAAATGGTCCAGGTCTGTCGTACTGTGGTGGCCTGTGTGTTGCTGTGATGTTGGGTGCCATGCCGTCAGAATTTCCAATACCAGCCGGGTGCCCATGGTGGACAGGTTTCAGTGGAGCTTCCAGACTAAGACAAGGCAGAGAGGCCTGGGGATCAACTTCTGAAAATGCACCAACGAAAGCCACACGTGTGACAACAGCTAGGAAAGGACATCCTGTCTGGGGTAGCAGAGGGTCAAGATCGATATCCTAGGCATTAGTGAGCTGAAATGGACTGGTTTTGGCCATTTTGAATCGGACAACCATATGATCTACTATGCCGGGAATGACAATTTGAAGAGAAATGGCATGGCATTCATCATCACAAAGGATGTTTCAAGATCTATCCTGCAGTACAGTGCTGTCAGTGATAGGATAATAGCCATATGCCTACAAGGAGGGCCAGTTCATACGACTGTTACTCAAATTTACGCACCAACCACCAAAGCCAAAGATGAGGAAATTGAAGAATTTTGCCAACTTCTGTAATCTGAAATTGACCAAACATGCAATCAAGATGTGCTGGTTATCACTGGTGATTGAAATGCAAAAGTTGGAAACAAAGAAAAATCACCAGTAGTTGGAAAATTTGTCCATGGAGATAGAAATAACAGCGGAGATCACATGATAGAATTTTGCAAGACCAACGATTTATTCATTGCAAATACCTTTTTCCAGCAACACAAATGGTGGCTATACACACGGACTTCGCCAGATGGAGTACACAGGAATTAGATTGACTACATCTGTGGCAAGAGGTGATAGAGAAGCTCAATATCTTCAGCCAAAACAAGGCCAGGAGCTGATTGTGGAACAGACCATCAACTGCTCATATGCAAGTTGAAGTTGAAGTTGAAGACAATTAAAAGAAATCCATGAGAGCCAAGATATGACCTTGATAACATCCCCCCTGAGTTTAGAGACCAATTAAAGATAGATATGATGCATTGGATACCAGTGACCAAAAACCAGAAGAATTGTGGGATGACATCAAGAACATCATCCATGAAGAAAGCAAAAGGTCATTAAAATGACAGGAAAGGAAGAAAAGACCAAAATGGATGTCAGAAGAGACTCTGAAACTTGCCCTTGAATGAAGAGTAGCTAAAGCAAATGGAAGAAATGACAAGATAAAAGAGCTGAACAGAAGACTTCAAAGAACAGCTTGAGAAAACAAAGTCAATTATTATAACAAAATGTGCAGGCATGGAGCTGGAAAGCCAAAAGTGAAGAACATGCTCAGCATTTCTCAAGCTGAAAGAAGTGAAGGAAAAATTTAAGCCTCGAGTTGCAATATTGAAAGATTCAATGGGCAGTATATTGAATGATGCAGGAAGCATCAAAAGAAGATGGAAAGAATACACAGAGACATTGACCCCAAAAGAATTGGTCGATGTTCATCCATTTCAGGAGGTAGCTTATGATCAAGAACCAATGATATTGAAGGAAGAAGTCAAAGCTACACTGAAGGAATTGGTGAAGAACAAGGCTCTAGGAATTGACGGGATACCCATTGAGATGTTTCAAGAAAGGGATCCCACGCTGAAGGCCCTCACTCAGTTATGCCAAGAGATTTGGAAGACAGCTACCTGGCCGACTGACTGGAAGAGATCCATATTTGTGCCCTTTCCAAAGAAAGGTGATCCCACAGAATGTGGAAATTACTGAACAGTATCATTAATATTGCACGCAAATAAGATCTTACTGAAGATAATTCAAAACTGATTGCAGCAGTATATTGACAGAGAACTTCCAGAAATGGAAGCTGGTTTCAGAAGAGGTTGTGGGACAAAGGATATCATTGCTGATGTCAGATTAATCTTGGCTGGAAGGAAAGAATACCAGAAAGATGTTTACTTGTGTTTTATTGACTATACAAAAGCATTTGATTGTGTGGATCATAACAAATTATGGATAACGTTGAAGAGAATGGGAATTCCAGAATGCTTAATTGTGCTCATGAGGAACTTGTACATAGACCAGGAGGCTGTCATTGAAACAAGGGGGCACTGGATGGTTTAAAATCAGGAAGGGAGTGCATTGGGATTGTATTCTTTCACCATACTTATTCAATTTGTATGCTGAGCAAATAATCAGAGAAGCTGGACTATATGAAGAAGAATGTGGCATCAGGATTGGAGGAAGACTCATTAACAACTTGTGTTATGCAGACAACACAACTTTGCTGAAAGTGAGGATGACTTGAAACACTTACTCATGAAGATTGAAGACTACAGTCTGCAGTATGGATTAGACCTCAATATAAAGAAAACAAAAACGCTCACAACAGGACCAATAAGCAGCATCACAATAAATGGAGAAAAGATTAAAGTTGTCAAAGATTTCATATTACTTGGATCTACAGTAAACACCAATGGAAGCAGTAGTCAAGATATCAGACATCGTATAGCATTAGGCAAATCTGCTGCAAGAGACCTTTCAGGTGCTGAAGAGCAAAGATGTCTCCTTGAAGACTAAGGTGCACCTGATGCAAACCATGGTATTTTCAATCCCCTCATATACATGTGAGAGCTGGATGATGAAAAAGGAAGACCGAAGAAGAGTTGATGCTTTTGAGTTGTGGTGCTGG